CTTTTCTAGTATAATATTTTTATAAAGTATTTATTTTTTTTTAATTTACAGAATTTTAGTGATACAGTACAATGATAAATGTAGTCTGGTATATACTCTAAATATAGAATTAATAGAATATACATATATATAATGTTCGTTCTGGAATAATTTTACTATCCTTCTAATAGCAGGCAAATTAAAAGAGTAAAATTACGTTTCTTTTACGGATTTTATTTATGGAAAATTTTATTAATTTTTAGAAAAGTGTAATAAACTGGTTAAGTATAATAAATTATTGTGTTAATTATAATAGGATGAAAACGTCTTTTAATTAGACGTTTTGTTGTAAATATTTAAATATATATATATATATATGTATATATAAACTAAAAGATTTTTTAAACAAAAGAAATTGACGGCAAATGCCAAAAAATTAATTTTTGAGCTGAAATTTTAAATAATGGTTAATGAAGTACCTAATATTTTTGGCTAATAAGGCTGTACATATTAGAGGCCTAAAAACTTACAACCGAACATTTTTCTTCCCTCCGTCCCTTATGCTTCAGCGCAAGCGAAGTCAGAGATAAAAACTTGAGAAAATTATTGTGTATGTTACGTATATCTCGTCGGCTTTACGATACAGTTGTATTTTTCTGCAGGCTGCCGTTGAATCCCGCGATGTCGTTGCGCTAACGATAAAGATAGAAATTGCGACAATCGTTTCATCGTCGTAAAGCTCGTAAGTGGAGTTCCTCGTGGGACATTCCACCCAGTATGATTACGAGCATGGAACGCGCAGGATGCATGTCGCTCCTTTTTGTATTTTGCTAAATAAAACGTAAACGAGAGAAGAAGATACATCTATTTGATATTGGCATCCTTATTCCATTTGCTGCATTATCGCCCATAACCACCTCCTCAAGAATTTGTACGTATATTAACTTTAACAGCGAAGCACGTATGGAGTGAATGAATTTCAAAGCAGTATAAAACTATGTAATGATATATAAAACTATGTACCAATAAAAAATAAAAATAATAGCAACTATATACGCACGCAGCGCAAAGGACTCTTTATGGACATGCGACCCAATTTGGAATAATCTCCTTTCTTTTATAAATTGTTAGCTCGATTTTTATAAAACTTGGCCTGTAAGTAATTTTACAATGCTTTATTCGGTAAATATGCCGATTAGGGGAGGCAGTTCCGATGACCTTAACATATGTTGTCAAGATCACGACCCTCAATGAACTCCACTAGGTTTT